AATACATTAGGCTTTGAATTTGTCAGAACTATCATTTTTTTATTTTGATTTCTTACTCCATACTCCACACAAGGTATTGACACATTTTGTATACACACACAGTGGGTGAGCTATTTGGATGGTGATTTCTTAATTAAAACCAGCCTTTACATTAATCTCAGATGTATAAAATGCTTATATTTTGATTTTGTAAAGTTAATGTGGTTTCCGTGCACTTTATAACAACAAACTGTCTTTCAAAGTTATAAAGATTTAATTTTTCTCTTGAAATAATAGAGTCGATAATGAATTCAACCCCAGATAGTTTTTTATTTTTTATTTCAGGACTTATTACATGAATTGTGAGATGACTGATTCAAAGATAAACACATAGCTTATTGGCACAGAAAAGAGAGAGCAGAAAAAGGGCACATATTCTAAGCATTTCTCAGACAAAATCTACAAATAGTCAAATAATACATTAAGATAGACAGCATAGTTATATACCATAAAAATTAAATGTAGTTACTGAGTGTTTATTAAAAGTATTCATGAATGAAAGTTTCCTGTTCCCATTTCTTATTTGTTCAACTCCATGAACATTTTATATTTCTTCATTTTTCATTTTTTGTCTTGACTCTTATTTTTTCCTGTAAAATTGTAACACTTGACCTATTAACCCAATGATTTTATTTGTTTTTATTTTGTTTTCATTTAATTATCTATTTTTTTAGATACTCCAGTGAAAACACATGATTTAGAGATGAAACATGGGATGGATATTTCCTACTGTCAAGTTTCATCACATGATAGAGGCATACAGACATTTAAGCAGATAATTATGATAAAACTTATAGATACTTATTTTAAATATTGTCAACCCATTGGAAATTTTCAATGTATACAAAGAGGAAAAATTATAATAATCATGCTCCCAGTTAGCTTAGCAGTCTTTAAAATAAAATGTCTACTGATTATTATTAAGATGATGTTCTTATTAATGTTTTAATTTTTTTAATTTTCTTTTTTCCTTTTCTAATCAAATATTAGTAAATTTCATACACTATGCTTTTATTGCATTTAGTTCTGCTCCCTTATATGCACCCTGTTACTATCCCTCGAATTTTATGTACTCTGTTTTACATATAGACATATATAAAGGCTTATAAAGCCAACTTTGTGTCCCCAAATGTCTTTTGGTATGGATCCATCCAATGGAGCCCGGTTAACCTATCAACAGTCACACCCTTAAAAGAGACTGGCTTTTATCTTCCCAGGGGCCACAGATTTCCAATAGTTCCTCAGGTAGGGTTGTCTGCCTTGAGCTTACTTGGTTCTTGTACTTACTGTCACTTTTGTTCAAAGTTCATATGACTACCTGACTAGCTGGCTGCCCGTGGTTCAGTGTCACTGATAGCGCACTCCACTTCTCTTGACATAATACAGTAAGTTCAAGGTGAGAGAAAGGTTGGGGTTTTAACTGCAGAGTAACTTGAATTAAAAGTAAATAAAAATTAAGTCCACAAATGAGCAGGAGGAAGTGTGCGCTTTAGTATATAAGTAACATTCAGTGAAAGAGAACAAAACTGTTTTGAATAGTATGGAAGAAACAAAGAAGGTCAGAACCTGTTTATGCTTATATTTATGTGAACTATCACAACTGGCAGTGCTAGAGGGGAAGGAGGATTTAGTGATGCTAGAAGGGATTTAGTGATGCTAGCGGGAAGGAGGATAGAATTTTTTTTCAGTTCTTCATTGATGTGGCTATTACACGGGTGTAAGCGCTTATCAAGCCTGAGTGATACACAATAGCATGTTTAAACTAGAAACATAGCTTGATAAGTGGAATATCCAGACATGAAGAAAGCAATGCTATATGATTCCATGTATAAAAATTCAAGAATAAACAAAGCTAACCTCTGCTCACAGGAAACAAGTGAGTGGTTATCAATTGATTACAAAAGGGGTTATGGATAATGTTGCAGGTGATGAAAATATTCTGGATTTTGACTGGTAATGTTGGTTACATGAGAGTAATTACATGCCAAACTTCTTAAACTGACATTTGAAAAATGAATCTACCTTGTAAATAAACTACACTATACCAAATAAAATTAACTTTAAAAAACCTGATTAAACTCTACTTACAAAAGGAGTGCATTTTGCCAGGTGTGGTGGTGCACGCCTTTAATCCTAGCACTTGGCAGGCAGAGGCAAGCAGATCTTTTTCAGTTTGAGGCCAGCTTGGTCTACATTGTGAGTTCCAGGACATCTGGGGCTACAGGGAGACCCTGTCTCAAAAAGAAAAAAAAAAAGAAAAGAAAAGGAGTGCATTTTATCATATGCTAATTATACTTCCTTAACTGAGATTCCTTGAAAACCCAAATAAGCAGTAACCAGTATATCTTTGGTTCTGTTTAAGTCTGAAAGGAAGAAGGCCCCTTCTTTTCAATGAGTATGCTTATCCTTGAATATCCAGAGACGTTCTTTTGTGTTCCAGTCATCCTGCTCAGGCTTCATTCAACCACCATTCCAATGGTGATTGAGCTTAAGATAGGTATGCCTTTGATAGGCATTGAATTTGAAAACCTGCTTTTACTCTATTATTTCAACAAAAGGAAAAATGAGACAACAAACTTATCCAAATCTTCATTGGCTTCTTAAAAGTTTTAAAGCACAATTTCGAATTGAAACTACTCTCTTGTATTAGCTTTGTTAGTGTAGGCTGAGAACAAAATAGCAATAGTTTGTGTAGGAAAAGTAGGGTGAAATATATCTTAAATAATGACAGAGTTACCCTTAATGACACTTTATAAATCAATTAAAAATAGTGTCAAGAGCAATAAGATTGTACTTGTGAAATTTTACAATACTCTATGCACGATTTTTGTAAAAGGGAACTCTTCAGTGTTTTTGTTAATATATAGAACAAGGTTGTGAACAGGGACATCTTTCTATCTTGAGTAACTGTCCCATGCACACAAAAAATAAAATTCATTGTGCTATTTAAAAGATAGTTCAATAATGTATGGAGAGAACAAAGACTTGCATTCATGATAAAATATATCTGGAATTTGTAAATAGCAGAAGGAAAGCAAATAGATGTCTTTATAGACTCAAAATGTTGTGATAAAGAAGATCATGAGCTATGAGTCAGAGAATGGTGGTGTACCCTGTAATTCCAGCATTTGAGAGACAGAAGTATGAGTATTGCATCAATCATAAGCCATACAACGTTCCATTCAGGCCAAGTAGAGCTTCAGAGTAAGACTCTGTCTCAAAATAGCAAAAGTAAGAACAACAAAAAACAAAGGAAAAGAGACTGTCATGATTAAAAAGAAAAATGCATTGCAAGAATATTTAACTTAGTGAAAATAGTTTATATTTTCTTCAAAGTTAACGTTTTACTAATCTACTCTAAAACATAAGATCCATCAGAAAAGTAGTTTTACTTCTTAAGTTTTGGAGAAGGCTTCCCTTAAAAACTACAAGATATTTCATGGAGGAACAGGAATGCTTCATTTTAAGATATCTCAAAATCTCCTCATATAGGAAAATCTTTCAATAAATAATCTTTTGTCCCAGATGAAATTTTTTCAGTCACAGCTCACATTGTTCTGACTGCAGTAACCAGACGTGACCACTTGGGGGCTGCAATTCCGTTTGCAGCACTTCTGTATCCACAACAGACCCATTCTCTCTAAGAGTACTTGTAAAATTACATAAAATTATTTTAAATGGAAGCTGAAAAGAGTAGAATAGGTCGATACAGCGGAGTGAAATTATATTACCATTTTCTGAAAAACAATGAATAATATTTAACAAATAGATCAACAACAGCATTACTGCAGGCTCATTAACTATAGAATCTTATCACTCCACAACGGCTAGTGATTTTAGATCTCTGCTTCTTGAAACGTGCTAGGTAGAGCGATTTTAACACTAATTTTTTCCAGGAAATTGCTGTTCTTTATTGTAGGCATCTTAACATTTCCATACTGTGGAATTTTAATGTGGGTCATTTATTTATTATCAGTTATTTCAATAAAATTTTGTGCTATCAGGAGTTGCAAAAATGTTGCTTATGTAGATTTAAATATTAAATGCATTTCCTGAAATGTAGACTAGAATGATTCTGTTTTTTTTACTGGGGTGAGGAATGAAAAATATAGTATTGATATAATACACTCAATCTTGGATAATGTGAAATACAATCATATCTAATTATTTAAATTGTGACTTTAAAAATTATCATATAAGTATTTTATACTAGGTTATACATATGTTAATTTACATTGATATATGAGGTAATTAAATTATTTTAAAATTCTCAAATAATATAACATTGCCTATGCATTTCTAATAATTCTAATGGTGTTTACTTCACTCCATTTCACTTGGTGGAGTGGAAGTATTTGCTTTGTGTTTTACGAAAATTCCTGCATTTAAAACATTTTGGTTACATTTCATGTATATGGAGACTTTTCGTGCTTAAAATATGTTATTATATCAACATTATTAAATATTTATCTGTCCTACTACATATGGTAGCTAATGCATATTTTAATCTTTCTTTTGTATTCCAAAATAAACACAGGCAATTGACACTTTTACAATAATAATTGATATTAAAATGCTGATTGTCAAATGTTACTACCCTTCTTAGAAGCTAATATTGTTTTAAGTCCTTTAGATTAAATATCACTTAACTACTCCTCTACAGCTCTATCAGTTGTTTTATGTGAAATAATGGTTCTGCTTAGTATTTGATTTACAGTTTGGATTATTCATTTAGAAGGCTTAACTGAAATATAATTTCATTTTTAGCAGAAGACAGTGACATTCCTGCTGTACTAATATTTCATTTTTAAAAAAGATGTATAAGACTTTCATTTTGAAATTATGGATAGCAGTCCCACTACTTTTCAGTTTTTCTTATATGTATGAGAATAACATGGGTAAACTGAACTACACCTTATGTATAGAGCTCTTATTGCATTTTTCTTGATATTTGCTTTTAGGGTTGTCATCTAATACCTGCGAGCATAGGCCAACGAACACCATTCTTCCAAATTTAACTGTAAGTATACCCCTAAGCACGTCTTCAGACAGTCATTTTGCAGTAATATTTACCTACTATATTTAAGTGATTACTTTTATTTTGCTAACGTGGGCCCACCCCTGAATTAATAAAACATATACCCTTAAAAATTACCATATCTGAAAATAAACACTATTTAATTGGTAAAAAGCATTTTAATGCAACCTTTAAAAACTCTCATATTATTTTTATTACCAAGTAATGTATGACAGAAACCCTTACTAAATTGCTAATCACTATCTCAACTATATAGTAAGTAAATTTAAAAATAAGATGATATATATTTATTGAAAAATATGAAAAGTATATGTATAAAATTGTGAAGTGCCCCCAGCAGGTGGTACTTGGCATGCACAGGATGCCAGTCATTGTGTGTGAAGATCCAAGCATGCCTGCAGATGTTTTCACTGTATTGATGAAATATGTTATCATGGATGTGCAGGTAAGTTTACAATCTCCAGTATCAACAATGCTCACACAAGGCAGTGTCACAGATTAATGTCATTGTAAGCACTATCTAGTGGCAAAGACCAAGGCAAGACTTGGCAGAATTTGAAGTGAGCCAATTCCATTGTTACTGCCACCCTTTCAACACTATTCTGTCTATGGTAAACCGTTTTCTCTCTACATCCATATGCCAAATATCTAATACTTCACAATGGATGTTCCCTTACTTCTGTCCCAGGCCTATCCACTCCTTGTACACAGACTTGTTTGTACTTCCTTTCTATCCACGTGTCAGAGAGGATTTGATATGCAAATTTATCTTGAGGTCGCAATACTTAACAAGTTCTAGCCCATTCTTTGAATTATTGAATCCCTTGGGGAGCCGAAAGGGAAAATAGACTAAAATCTTGCCATGTTTCTACATAAAGATTTGCCTACTTCACTTCTCCAAGAGGCTCATCTTGTCAGGGAATTCAATGACATGAAAACCACAGATCAATATATTTTAACTGTAAAAGGTTGGAGTTTATTTATTGAAAATAATGTAGCTATGTTGTTAATATATTAATGCTCATTACTTATAGAAAGATACCAAGAGTTTTATTGTAATACATATTTACCTATCTATACATCTACAAGCTTAATGTTTAAGGATTTTTTTTTTACTTTTCATTAAGTATGATATAACTCACACATGCTGGGAAATGCTCTACCACAGAACTATACTCCCAGCCCATATTTCAAGTTCTTGAGATACGATTATTTTTACAGCTATTTTACGCAGTATAAGATTCATTAGCTTTTGAAAAATAACGGTGAGTTGATCTGATTTGTTTGCCCACTATGTTTCAAAATTGGTAATAAATTCCCTATAACCCCACAAAATATGCAAAGATATGTGTAACTGTATATATCTGTAGCTCTCTCTATATATGTATATACATATATGTATATACAGCTAGTTATAAATATTTGAAAAGAAAACATATACATATGTGTATATGTATATGTACATATATATGTATATATATGTATATATGAGTGTGTATTTTAAAAAACAAGTTAAAAATACAATATTTTGAAATATTTCAAACTCAGAAAAACAAGTGAAGGTTGCTTTATTTTTGAAAGGTAAGTAGTCATACAGTTTCTGGTAACTACAGCAAATGAAACAAGTCAATAAACATAGGCATGTAAATGGATATCACCATCAAAGAGCTTATCACACGATAACATCCATATTTGATTTCATTAATTTAAAATATTAGTCTTAAGTACATATTTAGTATAATTTAAAAGAAAACACCAGCCAATTTTTTTTTTCAGAAATATGAACTAGGCACTTGGGTGGTGAGGCAGGTGTATCAGTGGTTCAAAGCCAGGTTTAGCTGCATAGAATTTGAAGCCAGCAGTGACAAGCCACTCTATCTCAAACTCCAAGCAAAATAACAAAACCAAAAATTATTAGAAAGGGGTATAGCTTGTTGCTGTATTTGGTAAGCTGTTTAAACAGTATTGGTTGTACTTTAATTTGGCATTATATTTTGTTTTTGTTCCACTGAATTGACTTTTACTATTTTACAATGGCCTAAGTTGAATTTAAATTACATGTATCTCATACATTTATGAATCTACTCATGTTCCGATTTTTTTGACCTATTGAATGTTCGAAAAAGAAATGAAGCAAACATGATGAGCAATAAATGAGTTATTTTGGCACTTGATGTTAGCTAGAATCATCTGGAGATCCTGTTATGCTGAAAGTTTTTGTTCGGTGGGTAGAGTGAAAGATATACAAATCTCCCAGGTTTCCAGGGAGTACACCTGGAGTAGCAAGGTCATAGAGGAAAGGGTCAACAATTTTTTTTCTTGTATAAAGTCAGATAGTATTTTTGGATGTTGTGGACCATGTGAACCATCACAGACAACATAAAGATGAACAGGTAGGACTGGGACCTCATAGAACTTCATGAGTACTAAAATTTGAATAAATATATACTTTTCATGTCATAATATATTATTGATCTTTTGATCATTTTTTCCAACTGAGTAAAAACTGAATCCTGTTTTTGGCTTCTGTGTCAAAGCAGTCTATATTTAATTTGGAAAAGGGAAAGAGTGGTAAACAAGAGCATTAGTGTGTTCTGAAAGGAAAGAATCACATATGCATGAGAAAAGCAAATGCTTCTTGGTTGAGAATGCTCAATGTGGAGGGAATTCCTCATATGAATACTGCAGTAGTTTTTTAAAATTTATTTTTACTTTTTCTGTATGAGTGTATTATCTGCATGTGTGTAAGTGCTACGGTGTTGTGCAATGCCCATGGAGGTCAGAGGAGAGCATCAAATTCGCCTGGAACTGGAGTTACAGACAGTTGTTAGCCTCCACGTGGGGGCTGGGAATCAAACCCAGTTCCTCTGCAAGAGGGGTCAGTGCTCTTAACCACTGAGCCATTTCTCCAGACCCCCGGAAATAGTTTTAAACTTAAATGAGTAGTGGTATCAGATGAGCATGCTGAGTGAACAGTAGGGGATGTTATTAAATTCTGAAGTGTGGAGTTTCAAAAGAGGACTGCTCTGTTTGGAGAGATAAAGAGACTAGAAGTGACTGGGGAAACCAGGAGAAACAACAGCTGAAAGGTCAGGATTGTGGAAGTGGCTGCAAACAATTCTCAAATAAAAGCTTTGCAAGAAGCATTTATAGAAATGATCTAGCTTTGCAAGTCCATTGAGGAAATGTGGAATGAACATCTTATAGCCAGGCAGAGCAGGCCTATGAAGTCACTTTTCCATCATTACAAAGGACAGCAGATTAAAAAGGAAAGTTGAGAACTAATGAGTGAAGCTTTTAAAGATTGATCTCTACAAATGCTTCAGGGCTTGCCTGGCTATGCCGATTAGCTAAGGAATAGACATGTATGCTGGAAGTAACAGGCACATACAGGATTTATAGAAAATGTTTCTGATCATTCTTTGGAGGTGGCAGTGAATGAGATGGTGAGATATGTTGACACAACACAGCTCTCACCTCAAAGGAAAGAAGAAATAATTTATTCTGGAGCAAAATAAGAGTGCCTTTGACCTGGGAACATGTCTTTGACCTGGAACATGTCCTAATACCAACTTCGAATAAGACAGCAATTTCATGAACTTCTTATAATAACAGAACAAAGAAAGTCATAAATGAAACCATTTCAAATACATTGGTGGATGCATTGGGTAGGTAGGTTATAGAAACATGGAGAAATCTCTTCCATAGGCCTCAGATGCTCTCTTGTAACATTCTTAGCTTTGGGATTGTTGGAACCCACTGTCTATACATTCCATAGATTTTACCTAATTATCACAGGATGTTAGGTTATACGCAGAGGTGAGTAACAAATGGCTATTCACTAGAGGCAAGAGAGCAGGGACTTGTTCCCTGAAAGGTTATCTATTCCCAAGTGGGCAGCCCTAAACACAGGAGCACAGGAGCACCACTAAATGTACTCAGAGCATTATGTATACATATATATGTATATATATTTATAAATGTATATATGTAGGTATGCATATGTAACAATAATAAAGAAGAGGACAAGAAATTGAGAAGGCTTGAGGGGACATGGGTGGAGTTGGTGGGGGACCATGACAGAGAGAAATAATGCAATGACAGTATCATGTATAAAATTCCCAAAACTTCAATAAAAATTTTTAAAAGATAATTTGGTTCTGAACTGCAGTATTCCAAGCTTTCCAAAGTCATTGAATTCTAATCATCCTTTCAACTCTTGTAGAATGTTAAATGGAGGAACAGCATCATTTGGGAAAATTAGTTTACAGATATTACACAAAAGCACCAATGTTAGGAAGTATGAAAAATGAAAAATCAATTATAAAATTATCACAACCCCTAAATCTTTTTTTTGTTTTTTTAAATTTATTCAATAACCACATGATTAGAAGAAGCATTTCTTTACAGCTTTAACATATTCAATAGCAATTTCCAGAGCAAAGACACATCTCTTTCAAAAGTGGCTGTAAATTTTTAGGTTCACAGTTGAATTAATATAGTTATACGGAACTGAGTATAAACCCTGTACCACATAAAATTGAATGAGTTTTTAACCTTTAAAAAAGATCTCCATTTCAGCCAGGCATGGTGGACCATGCCTTTAATCCCAGCACTCAGGAGGCAGAGACAGGCAGATCTCTGTGAGATCAAGGCCAGCCTGGTCTACATAGTGAGTTCCAGGACAGCTGGGGCTACAGGGAGACTCTGTCTCAAAAAGAACAACAACAAAAAAAGATCTCCATTTCATTTTAAAATATGCTGTTTCCTAAAGAAAGACTGATTTTTAATGCTACTAACACTTAGATGTTTGCACATGCATCTCTAATATCTATGATTATTACTAGTCACAGTCAGTTACACTCAGATCCTTGGCACCTGAGTATGGATAAAAAGTCATCGGGTAGATTTCAATGGTAATGTTGTTTATCAACTCTACTAATTAACATGAAGTACATTTTTATGCTTCCTCCTCAAATATA